GGTGAGGGGTGGGGGATGGGGGGGGGTCGCTTGGGAAGCTGGGTGTTGGGGATGCTGGGTGTTTCAGTGCAAAGGCAGCGGCACGGCGCCCCACTACACTTCGTGCCTGCACTGTGCAGCAGGGCGCGCTCACGCTCCCGCGAGCATCCGCCGTCCGGCCGCCCAAAGGGCAACACTGCGGCCAAGGTGAGGGCTGAATTGACCCAACAGCATCAACTTTGCAGAAGAACTGCCACCCCCATGATCATTCGCGGTGCCAAGCGGGGTCGTCGTTTCGCCGCTGCCTCACCTGTGGCAAAGAGGTCGTCGATAGCGCCGGCCAGCTGCACGCTGCACGCGTCCAGCGCCGCGCCGTCGGGCGCGGCGACCGACACCGCCACCTGGCCTTGAAGCAGCGCGGATACCTGCGGCGGGTTTTATTTTGAAGCATTTGCTCTTGTTACTTGTGTGTTCAAATAGTGTTGTTAATCATGGAGCAAATGTTACTGAATGCCAGGCGATGGAGACAGAGATGGGGGGGGAACCAAAAGCGCCGCATCCCCGCAGTTGAGCTTCACTCGCAAGCTCACACAGGTGCATACGTCTGCACGCGCACACGCACACACGCACGCATGCACGCACGCGCACGCGCGCACACACACACACGCACACACACACGCACACACACTCAAAGCTGCGCCCCCGGCCCAACCTGCATGCACCTGCTCAAGGTGCTCCTCGGGGATTTCCAGGTGGGTGCAGCCGTGGAGGTGGGGGAACCGCGCCGCCACGGCCGCGGGTATGTTGCTGCCCGCCACGCGCAGCGGCAGGGTGGTCTCCGCGCCCTCCACGCCACCGGCTGGGGGATGGGGTGCGTGCGCGGGCGAGTGTGTGATGGGGTGCGAGTGTGTGTGCGGCGGGGGTGGACCATGTATGTGTGTGCGTGTGGGGGTTGTGTGTGTGTGCGCGCGCGTGCGTGCGTGCATGTGTGTGCGTGCGCGAGCGAGCGTGTATGCGTGTGTGCTTTTGGTTAGGGGGTGCAATGGAAAAGAAAGCCGGTGCGGCAGAGGCAGTACACCAGCTGGATTTGCAAGCCTGGCATAATCAGCATTCACAAAGCACCAGATGTCGCAGGCAGGCATCTGGCTCGGCTCTTGCTCAGGCATCCCGAGCAGGTGCGTGGGCAGGCGGGCCGCGGCGCCCACCTGTGACACGCAGGGAGGCATCCGGGCTGAAGTGCAGGTGGAACTGGCGCTCGGGCCCGCCCGCGCCCTCTGTCGGCGGCACGCGCCAGGCTATTGTAGCGCGGTCCACCCTGGGGGAGTGGGAATGCAGCCGGTGCGGCGTTAGGAGCAGGGGATGTGAGGGGCAATTCGCATGAGGGGGCTCAGCAAACGGGGTTGCTACAACAAAGGAGATCGCTCTGAGGCTAACGGCAGGTGGTGACGGTGTCTAAAACTAGCGGCGGCGGAAGTCGTAACACCACAGGAGCTGGGGGGGGGGGCGCCACAGCATTGAGGGATGAGAGGGACGATCCGATATTTTGAACCAAACGGTCCCAACTCTTTCAGTGCAATGGGAGGTTTGAGACCCACTCGGGCGCTTCGGCAACATAAAGACTGCGGTCTGCGCCCTGCGCCCCGGGGCGGCTGCGCGCACGCTGATGCTACAAAGTCACATCCCATGAGCCTGGATGGCTCCAGGAGCGGGCGACCGCGGGATCTTGTAACAATCCAAATCCTCATCCACGCACCAGTGCGCGTAGCTCTTCGCCAGGTCACCCGCCGGCAGCAGCGCCATGTCTGGCGGCGCCGCGGCGGCCGACTGCTCGTTCCCCACCAGCCAGATTTCTGTTGGGCCGTCGAGGGCCACGCGCTGCGCCCCTGCAGTTAAGTCATCGTTGCACATGGTGGGAGGAAGGGGTGGGGTGGGGTGGCGGAAGCGGGGCTGGGGGTGGGGCGGGGGGCGGGGGAAAGGGGCGCTGGCAGTGACGCAGCGGTGGCGGTGCGGGCAGCATTCGTCTTGCGAGAAGCTTGGCAGGTGGCGCTGGGGACAAGTTTGTTTAGGGGGACGTGGCCTGTGGAGCTGCTGCTGCTGCTGCTGCTGCTGCTGCTGCTGCTGCTGCTGCTGCTGCTGCTGCTGCTGCTGCTGCTGTTGTCGACAAGGATGACAACGCCGCCGCGGGCGCGCCCGCACCTGCGGCGCGCTCATCCCCTCTGTGGACCAGCACGCCCGCCCATGATGCCCCCGGTTTCAGTGGCACTGCGGGGACGGGGACGCAGGAGGGCGCCGCGCCGTTGCGCATGACGGTGTGACTTGCAGGGGACAGCGGTCAAGGGGGCCTTCAATACTGGTCACCCCGCCGCCTGCAGAGTGCCCGTCGCAGGTTTAGGACCGGGCGGAAAGAGCATGCAATGCAGCCGGCCCTCACCGTCCCAATATGGCGACCCTTCAGGCGACAGCCTGCGGCGGGGGCGCGAACGGGTGCAAGGATGGGTGTGAGAGTGGGTGTGGGTGGCGACCGCAGGGGCATGCAATGCCACGCGGATGCATCGAGGGACAAGGCCCAAACCGCAACCCGCAGTGGCGCGCCGTCAAACAGCTGCCGCGGCCTCAGACGGGGATTGGCGGTGGCGCTGCCGCACCCTGTCGGCTGGAGGGGCGACTGCCAGTCGGTGTGCTCGGCGTCGCCCCAGGTGTGAAGGCCGAAGCCCTGTGTTTGGCAAGGGGCCCAATCAACATGACAAAGGGCAATCAGAGGGCCGCAGGCGGCCGCGGTAAGCACGGGGGTACACCGTTCCAGCGCCACGGAGCTCGAGGAAGCAGCTGCTCGGCCGCCCCGCATGCTGCGCATCGCAATTGCACTTTCCAAAGCACAGCGTGACAATGGCCAAGGCACGGAAGAGGTCGGTACTGCCACAGCAAACCTTGTAGGTACGATCCTTGCGCACGTAATTAACCCTAAGGCGGGCGGCGCCTGGATCGGAGGCGTCTCCGCCCGTCTTGGCGACGCTCCTGATCTTGGCACAACACCTCCGGTTCACGCTCAGCGACGCAGATCTATTGAGTTTGATGCGATTCGCATGCACCAGCATGGTCGCCTAGCGACCGTCAGATCGGCGATCCTCGGTCTCTGGCAGTGGCTCGATCCTGCGGGAGCCAAATGACGCGACGCTATCGATTCCAATTTGTGCGTTGCTGAAGCATGACTTTCATTCGTATTGCATGACTTGTGTGCATTGTCAGCATTCGTCACACCCAACGCAGTGTCGCAGTGCCCCAAGCTCTGACAGGTACTCATGGCGGCAAAACGGTTCATGTGCTGCTTTACACGTCGATCAAAAGTGCTGCTGCATCAAAATCTCTCGGTGTATCAACCGCCACCCTCTGCATGCGCCGGGGGAAGGTCGGCAACCGTCCGGCCCGGGCGGAATAGCAGTGGCCGGGCGCGCCCCCAACGGCCCCCGGCACGCACGCCTGCGAGAGAGGCAAGCTGGGAACCGGCCCCGCCAAGGGCGGATGGGTGGCGGCGAAACCACACACTCTCATTAATAAAATGAAGTTCGTATCGGGCAGTTGCAAGGCCGCCCGTGTGGGGACATGCGGCGGCCAAAAACGCCAGCCGCAGCATTTAGGAGCTGCCCCCGTCCCCCCGCCGGCTCGCGCGCAGGCAGGGGGCTCGGTCCGCGGCCCCTCGGGCGGCCGCGCGCCCAAAGCTGTGGCAGCACAAAACCGGCGTGCTCCAGGCAGCGCCCGCGCCCCCCAATGACGGGACGGGGCGCCGCCTGGGCGTAGATCGCTGCTGTCAGATGTGCAGACATCTTCGTCCTTTGCAAAAGCCCATCGCCCGTAATCTAACCCCACAGAGCAGCCCCGGGCCGGCCGGCGGCCGCAGCCTGCCGCCGCCAGGAGAGCCGACGCACATGCTGCTGCTGCTGCTGCTGCTGCTGCTGCTGCTGCTGCTGCTGCTGCTGCTGCTGCTGCTGCTGCTGCTGCTGCCGACGCTGCTGCAACCCTGCGGCTGCTGCACAGCGCGCGCGCACACGAGCGCAGGCGCCGCGCGGCCGACGCCCCGCGGAGCAATGGGCTCCCCTCGGGGCCCCGCCGCGCTCGCCCGCGCCCGCGCGCGCCCCTTGCGCTGCGACGGCCCCGCTCACTGCGCCACGCCCTCCGCCGGCGGCGGGTAGGCCGGGTCGACCGCGGGGTACCCGTCCGCGCCCAGCGGCGCGAGTGCGGCGCTGTCGGCCGCCGCGACGCGCTGCTTGAACATCTCGGCCATCCTGTCGGCGTTCTCAAACACCTTCTGGGGGTCGCGCAGCATGTCCCCGGGCTCGGGCTCCAGCTTCTTAGTGCTGAGGGTGACGCGGCCGCGGTCGCTGTCCTGGGACAAGATCATGACCTTGAGCTTGTCGCCCTCGGCCAGGACCTGGGGGGGGGAGAGTGATGCGATACATTATGGGTTGCGGGATGTGGTCGATGTGGACGGCGGGCGAGGCTAATGGCGCCTGGGTGAGGGGAAAGGCGTAAGGTGCAGAGGGGGTGGGGCCGGCAAGGGAGCCACCAGGCACGAGCAGAGGCCCGGAGTGTGTGTGCACGCGCGGAGTGAGTGACTGCTCGCACGCGCATGCCGACAGGCGCCCCCAGCCGGCTTGGCGTGTGACCGAGTGTGCTCAAGAGCTCATGCACACGCACAAGCGGGCAAACGGGGTCGCGCAGGCGCACACACACACTCTCTCTCACACACATATACACACATACACACACACGTGGATGCGCGCCGAGCGAGCGCACCTGGTCGACGGTGGTGAGCCGCTCGTGGGTGATCTGGCTGATGTGCAGCAGGCCGATGGCGCCGCCGATGTCCACAAACGCGCCGTAGGGCCGCACGCTCTGCACCACGCCCACCACCACGTCGCCGACCTGTTCGCGGGGCGGCGGGAAGAGGGAAGAGGCAGCAGAGTGGGTGGGGTTGCGGGGTGGGCGGGCGCCGTGGGAGGGCCGGCAGGACGAGGCGCGGCCCCTTGGGCTGGGAGGGCGGGTGCTGCCACGGCGGCGCGGGCCGTGCGCTCGGCTGTGCGAGTTGCTCTGGGGGGGAGGGGTCGCGAGCTCGAGGCCACGCACAGGCCAACCCGGGGGAATGCTCAACGCGGCAGCCTGGCTGAGGTATACAACAGGGGCAGTAGAAGCCAAGCACTGCCGCCGAGAGCGCACGCTGTGGTAAAGAAGGGCGCTTCACGTTCAAAGGTGTCAATCAGGGCTGCCCCCGCAGCCCCTCTCCCTCACCCTACACCGCGCGCACGTCCCCACACACGCTTGTGCCCACAACACTGTGTGCTTGCTGGTCGCCCCCTCAGGCCACCGGGCCGTACTCAACCCCCGAGTTGATGATAAAATCACACACCACCCTGCGAAACCCAACCACGCCACTGGCATGCACAGCAGCGGGCCCTGCCTCCCAACCCTGTCCGGGCCCACCTTGTAACCCTGCATGTCCGCGCTGCTGCTGGCGCGGCGGTGGGAGAGCACCAGCCGCTCGTTCTCCTCGTCCACGTCCAGGAACTTGGCGGGGATGTCGTAGCCCACAAAAGACTCCAGGTTGTCCGCGTTCATGTTCTGAGGGGTGTAAGCGTGCGTGTGCATGTGTGCATGTGTGTGTGTGTGTGTGTGTGTGTGTGTGTGTGTGTGAGAGAGAGAGAGAGAGAGAGAGAGAGAGAGAGAGAGAGAGAGTGGAGCAACACGTGAACCTAGAACGATTGCATTGCACAACAGCGACCCCTTGCCTGCGAAAACCGCCAGCATCCCCCCCCCTCGGGGCGGCGCCGCGGCAGCGTGCGCGCGCGGCGTCGACCGCCCAACGCCCCAAGCCCCGCAGGCCACCCTGCACGCCCCCTGCCGCCGCGCACCTGGCCCAGCTGGCTGACGGGGATGAAGCCCTCCAGGTGGGCGTACTGCACCATCAGGCCGCCGCGGTTGGCGCCCACCACGGTCACAATGACGGGCACGTCCTCCTCCATGATCTGGCGGATGCGCTGCCAGAACACAGTGGACTGCAGGGGCCAGGAGGGCGGGCAGGGAGTCCGGATGAAAGGGGGGCCTTCAGGGGGGCCGTGGGCCAGGAAGGGGGGCGGCTGGCGAGTGCAGCGGCCGGAGCTGCATTGCCCCGCAAGGCGGTGCATGTGGGGCAGCCGACAACAGTGGAGGTCATTGCAGCTGGCGCCGGCCGCGCCAGTTGTGCGCATGCGGGGAGGCGCTGGGCGACCGCCCTGGGGCTGCTGCACAACCAGCGGCGTGCCACCAACCAACTGGCCCCACGGAGTCATGCTCCCATCCGCCGCACCTCAATGGCTGCCAGCGACAGGATGATCTCCCCGAACTCGTCCTCATCCTCCGCAACCACAAACTCGCGCTTCATGCCAGGCCGCAGCACCTCCAGGGGCTGCAAGGGACGCGTGCAATTCACGAGCAGCGGCGACAAATTGGTTGCGGCACGGTCAGCATCCAGTCAAATGCAGCGCATGCGCTGGCCCGCGCACCGCAGAGCCCCCATACCGGGCCGTTGACGTTCGATCAAAGACACGCACCGTTTTGAGCTTGCCAAGGGCGCATTCGACCAGAGGAACGAAGCCCGCCGACTTGGCACCGATCTCGACATACGCGCCGTCGTCGTCCACCTCGTAGACCGTGCCGTAGACCTTGTCACCGACCTTGAAGCTGGACTCGCTCTCCTCCAGCATAGTCTCCACCTCGTCATAAAGGTCGGCGTGCTCCTCGTCCCCCACCTCCTCGAGGTCCTCCATCTCATCAAGGTCTGCCTCCTGCTGGTCGCTATCAAGGAACAGCATCCATTTGAGCAGGCTTTCCTGCGCCTGGTCGAGCTCTGCAATTTCCAGCTGCTGCTGCTCCACAGGCTCGGCGAGCGATGCATGTGGCTGCTCGGCATCGCTGTAGGTTGTCGGCTGGTCAATCGCCGCAACCTTGAGCCGGCGAAGGTCGCCACTGCTGCTGCTCAGTGGCCGGTGCTGCTGTGGTGTGCGTAGGGTGCTCTGCTGCCTGCTGCGCGCGCCCAGGGGCATGGCCCCCGCGTGCCTGAGAGCGAACGCCATGGTTGGCGATACGACAAAGGCAATGGCAATTTCAATGTGCGCACCTGCGCGCTCTTGAAACAAACGTCTGTGGCGCTCGAAGGTGGCGGGGCAATGGCCCTGTTTACCCTCGTTTCCGGCCAATGGCTGCTTGGGACAATGTTTATATGCAAGAACGCAGTGATACCAGGCCCCCAGGTCGGGTGGCACGCCCCGCCACGATCGCAAATCGGCGCGCTATCAGGTCAATGCGTGGCCGAAAGTGCCCCGTCAGGCCCGACAGTAGCGCTGTTCACTACGAGCGTGCACAAATTGAAATGTGCCTGGATCATTATTTGTGTGCAATGTATGCTTCACGCGACCCCAGTGCTCTTTGCTGCATGCGGTGCCGTGACAACATCAACAGCAGTCTTGGTCAACGTTATTTGTTGTGGTCAATCGCATGGGCAGCTGGACGCCTGCCTTTGCGCGCGCTGAAAATTACCACCCCCGGCCTTGCTCCCGGAGATGCCCAAAATCTCCACAGGGGGCACAATGCCGGCGCGCTCAGCACGGAGCTACATGCTGCTTGCGTTTGCGACTGCAGCGCGATCTGGCGCGATCTTGGCGACGCTGACAACCGCGCTCTGGGCGGTTGCAGATGCCAACCCATGGCATGCCCAAGGTTCTTGAGGGCATCGTGCTCATGGTGCACTAAGCCAAGGCCCCTTTGACTTGAGAATGCTGGCGGCAGCACATAATTGCTGGCTTGGCGGGCTGGCTGCAGAGTCGGAGGCACCCGGCCAACCCCCACGAGGTTGTGAGGATCCCTCGTGGCATGCAGGAGAGACGAGCGAGCCCTTCATACATGTTACAAAACACGGAATGGTCTAGAACAAGAGTGGGTGCCGGCCACGGGATGTATGTGGGCCACGGAATGTCAGCGTTCGGTCACAAAAACAGCAAAGCGCACACGCCAGAGGTCATGCACCAACATAGTTTTTGACCCGACTGCAAAACCCTTGATGAACACGATGCTGAGACGAGAAAAGGGCGAAAATTGCAAGGTCTCTAGCACTAGAACAAAGGGTGCAGCATTGCAGCAGCATCACCGCAAGGCGAAGCTTGCGTCGCGCACAAAGGGGCCCCGGCGGGTGAAGGTTGGCCCAGTCAGGCGCTGGCTGCTCGCATGACAGGGAGTCCACCGCTGGCCCCTGTGCCAACACAGGGTCGATGTCGGGTCTACGAAATCGAGCCACTGGTGTCAACTTGTCGACTTTTCTGAAATTGGGCATGCCACTACATCTGTTGCTCCTGACATTTTCGTCGCTGCTGCGGCCGCTCCTACTCAAAGTTGGGTTAGCATCAGTCATCCACTGCCATGGGCGCCACACCATTAGTGGCGCCGCCCTGGCACGGTAGCTCGGGCGCCCCTGGCAGCGGCGGGCCCCCTGACGCCGTGCAGCCGCTGCGGTCGTCAGGCACCCCACCCAGGGCGGCGGCGAGGTCCGCCCTCGGGGCCTCCAGCACACCCGGCAAGCAGCGCATTGCGTCGTCTTCTCCTGGGAATGCTGCTTCCTGCTGCCCCAGCATCAGCTGATTGGAAGGCCCTGCTTCCCCTCGTTCATGCTGCTGCTGCTGCTGCTGCTGCTGCTGCTGCGGCTGCGCTTGCTGCTGCTGCTCCTGCTGCTGCGATTGCTCCTGCGGCTGCTGCTGCTTCGCTTCCTGTTGCTGCCCCTGCTGCTCCTGCTGCTCCTGCTGCTGCTGCAGCCCCTGCACCTCCATTGGTGGTTCCCCCTCGCCCGCCGGCTGCAGCTGCACCTGCACGTGCTGCGGTGGTTCCACACCCCAATGTACCTCCTGCGCCTGCTGTTGCTGCGTCGGCCCCTGCCCAGCCGCCCGCTGCTCCTGCCCCCACGGCCCCAACTGCAGCCGCACCAGCCGCGCCTCTGGCCCCTCACCGCCCTCCTCCACCTGGACCCGCACCCGCACATGCTCCGCCTGCACAGCTGCCGGCCACGCGCCCGTGCCTGGCCGCTCCCCCACGTCCACAGCCACCGCCCCGCACTCCGCCTCTGGCAGCTGCTCGTCGCACACGAGAGCGCCGCCGCCGCCGTCCTCGGCCGCGGCGCCGCCACCGCCGCCGGCCCCTGCCTCAACCTCTGCGTCCTCCTCCTCCGCAGCGGAGCTGCTCTGGGACTGGCGGGAGCCACTCTGCAGGGCGGGTGAGTTTCAAATTCAACATTTCGTATTTCAAACGCATGCTGGGAGTGGCCGGGTGGCGAGCGCGCTTCGAGACGGCAAGCAGCACCGGCGGCGGCGGCAGCCGCTCACCGCGAGCGCGTGGGAGGGCGGCCGCGCATGCAAGACATGCAAAAGAAACCCCCGGCCGCACGCACGCCCACCTTGCGCGGCCGCCCCCGCCGCCGCCCTTTCCTGGGGCCGCCGCCGCCGCCGCTGCTCGCCGCCGCCGGCGGCCCGCCGGCCTCCTCGTCCGCCGCGGGCCCAAAGGGCCGCTTCCCGGCCCACATCTCCGCGAGCGTGCTCATGAGCAGCATCTGCTCCATGTCATCTGTCTTGCGGATCTCGACCTTCCTGAAGAATATGGACGAGCGGTCGAACGCGACCTGCAGGCACTCGTTCAGGGTGTAGGGCTGAGTCACCTCCTTGCCGACCTTCTCCACCTGGGGTGCGTGCATTTTGTGGGTGTGGGTGTGGTACGAGTGGGCGAGTCAGCGGGTGGATGGATGGGTGGGTGCGTGGGAAGGGTGCAGTGTGACGTGAAAGCGGGAGCCTGGCCGCGGCATCAGGGGCCGCCAGGCGTCAGCGCTGACACCTGGGAGCTGACGACGCCGGCACAGCCCAAAGCCCAGCCCCGCCGCCGGCGCCGCCCGCTCCCGCGCAACCAAGCAGCGGCCCTATAGCGCCGACATGGTGAAAGGGCCGGCGCGGCATCGCACCTGGCACTTGACCTGGCTGGTGGTGTCTGTCCACAGCACGGGGTGGGGGCTGCTCTCAGCCGGGAACAGCACCAGGGTGGGGTAGCTGTTGAGGAAGGTGCCTGGGGGGTAGCTCATGCCCGGCTGCACCTCCACGCGCTGCAGGGAGAGAGGGAAAGAGGGGGGGTTAGGGTGGGTGCGGGCGGCACCGCGTCGCACTGCGCAAAGAGGGGGCCCCGGCCGGGGCGGGCGCGGGTTGGGGCCGCCCCGCGGGCGCGGCGCGCGGGCCGGGCAGGTGCGGGCGCCCGGGAGACGCGAGGCGGCCGAGGGCCTCAGGTGGCAGTGCGGCGGCGGCAGCCGCCATCCGCGCGCCACCACAATCAGCGGGCGTGTGACAGGCTGGGGGGCGGAGAGGCCCGCCTGCGTGCACCCAAGATGCGCAACAGCCCCCCCCCCCCCCCCCCC